CACCACAGCTCAAAAGCATCGATCTTCCTTCGGTCAGCCTTGCTCAGCCTTCCCTAAGGTCCAGCTCTCACACTATATTATACTATTAGCATAGCACAATATTAGTATATATTGCAATATTGTACTATACAATGATGCTATAATATTATTAGTCATATTACATGTAATATATAATTATTATATTGTACTATTATTACTAATATATTGTATTACATTATAATATTATGATCACTATATTATTGCAATAGTACAATATTAGTATATATTACTAGATTGTAGAATACCACTATACTTCAATATTATTACATGTAATATATAATATATAATAATTATATTATTATACTGTGTTATTATTAGTATTATATTGTATTGCATTATAATATTATGATCTGTGCATACAATATTATATTATATTATATTATATTATATTATTATTATATTATATTATATTATATTATATTATATTATATTATATTATTAGCATGGCACAATATTAGTATATATTACTATATTGTACTATACAGCAATATTATTAGTAATATTACATGTAATAATGTAATAATGTATTATTACATTACATTATAATATTATGATCAGTATTATATGCACATACACTATATTATATTATTAGCATGGCACAATATTAGTATATATTACTAGTTTGTACTATACAGCAATATTATTAGTAATATAACATGTAATAATATATCATTATTATATTATAATATTGCATTATAATATTATGATCAATATTATATGTACATACACTATATTAAAATACTATCATAGTATAATATTAGTATATATTACTAGATTGTACAATACCGCTATTCTACAATATTTTTAGTAATATAACATGTAGTATAATGCAATGTAATGTAATGTAATGTAATGTAATATAATATAATATAATATAATATAATATAATATAATATAATATAATATAATATAATATAATATAATATAATATAATATAATATAATATAATATAATATAATATACACATAGACCGAGGGATTATGAGATTGGGTTTTTAAAAAAACTTTTCCAAGCTCTGAAAGTGAAGAGTGAAAAGGGTTGGGTGATGAGTTTACTTAAGCAAAGAGAAGCCTGAAAGGGGGCTTGCGAGGGAGTCCTTCCCCTCTCTTTTTCCACCGTCCATTTGACCCGTTCTTCTTATGGAGAATGAGCCATAGCGGATAGTTTAGGGAATGGGGAAAAGAAAGAAAGGCAGAAAGAGGATTAAGGCCAGGAAACAGACACAAAAGAACTCGTTTGAGTGGAGAAAGGTCCCCTGGTAAGCTCCTTGGCTAAATAACTTCTCAATATAGATTGGACAGAAGCGCCTGTTTCCAGACGCACCCGAGGGGCTCCTGTGCCTTTAAGGCTCGGCCGGGGACAAGAGGGGATTGCCAAAAGGGGCTCGAGCTTGTCATGCAAAGCTACTTTGGACACACAACACACGCAGTTAAGGCTTAGTGAAGTTCTGGAAAAAGTTGGGCGGCTAGGCGCAGGTTACACTTTATTGCCGGAAAATGTTGTCTTTGCGTTATTCACTTGGGACCCTTCCACACAACCCTATATCCCAGAATATCAAGGCAGGAAATCCCACATTATCTGAGTGTGGACTCAGAGCCCTTCCACAAAGCCATATAATTCAGAATATCAAGGCAGAAAATCCCTCAATATCTGCTTTGAACCGGGTTATCTGAGTCCACACTGCCCTATATTCCAATTCAAAGCAGAAAATGTGGGATTTTATTCATTTGTGGGGAAGGGGCCCCAGATAACCCAGTTCAAAGCAGATGTTGTGGGATTTTCTGCCTTGATATTCTGGGATATAGGGCTGTGTGGAAGGGGCCCTGCTGATGGTCTTTGGCGAGCCCTCTGACACCCCCCTAGGTTGAGAAACGCTGATGTAGACGCACCCACACATACCTCTGTACCCTATAGAAGACCATTCCCAGGGCCCCTTCCCACGTTATCTCAGGCCCTTCCACACAGCTGAATAAAATTCCACATTTTCTGCTTTGAACTAGGATATATGGCAGTGTGGACTCAGATATCCCAGCTCAAAGCAGATATTGAGGAATTTTCTGCCTTCATATTCTGGGTTATATGGCTGTGTGGAAGGGCCCTTTGCCTTCCAAATAGCGCCTCAGACAACTGAAGACTTTGTAAAACTTTGTAAGACTACACCTCCCATAGCATGGAGCCATGGCAATTAAAGTGGGGTCAAACTGCATCCATTCAACAGTGCAGAAGGTGCACTCATAGTCCAGCTGCTCAAATCACTATACCACTCTCTCTCTGTGGATGGAAAAATAGATAAATAGATAGACAACAAAGTGCTTCTGAAAAAAATAAATAAACAAGTACAGGATTGCAAAGTTTAAGCCTCTAACCCCCCCCCCCCCAAAAAAAACATACACAGATACATTTTCCATTTATGTTTGTGACTCCCCATGATTACTAAATTAATAGCAGGAGCTCAGACAGATGTCAAAACGTCTCGGACATGTTTATCTGGGAATAATTGAGAAGGTGGAGGGACGCATTATCTGATGGCGCAATGAAATATGCATGAAGAACAGCTGCATGGAAGGGGTCCCGCCTCGGAGTAGTCCACTGCCTCCCCCCCCCCCACCTCCCCCCCAGGGATAAATCAAGACTGGGTGGCTTCCCAGGTCTCTTTGGGCCCCCAACCCCACCAGAGAAGAGAAATAGTCGGAGGGCTTGAGCGGATCAGGTCAAGTGGGCCTAGAATTCATCTATACTGGGCCCTTCCACACTGGATGGGCCCAGTGTGGAACTGGATGGCCCATGAGGTCTCTTCCAACTCTATGATTCTATGATTCTGTGTCTTAATATCCTAAAGATACTTTGGGAACTAAGCAAGGCCTGCCCTGGTTTGCACACTTGGATGGGAGACCATCAATGAATATCAGGTGCTGTGGGCTACATTTCAGAGGCAGGAACTGACAAAGGTATTCCTTCCCTTTGAAATATACAGGGTTGGCAGACATTAACAGGTGACTTACATACAAATGAAAATCTTGGGAGGTGTGATCAGTTCCAGTCCAATTACTCATATTTCTGCCTTACATCTTCTGATCCAGAAGTCTTATAACCCAATTTGATAATGTTAAGTCCAGACTGACTTAACATCTGACTTTATTACATCCAGCAATAAAAACAGGCAGTTTTAAACTATGAATTGAAATGTACATTGTATTAGGAAGAAGGATTTTAATGTGTTTCAATCTGAGATCTATGTTTTTAATATATGTGTTTTGTGATCTTATGTTATCATCTATATATTTAATGATGCCCCCATCCACACACCCACATCCAGATTATCTGCTTAGAACTGGATTATATTAGTCTACACTGCTATATAATCCAGTTCAAAGGAGATACTCCAGATTTTATATGGCAGTCCAGTTCATAGAATCATAGAATCATAGAATCAAAGAGTTGGAAGAGACCTCGTGAGCCATCCAGCCCAACCCCCTGCCAAGAAGCAGGAATATTGCATTCAAATCATCCCTGACAGATGGCCACCCAGCCTCTGTTTAAAAGCTTCTAAAGAAGGAGCCTCCACCACACTCTGGGGCAGTGAGTTCCACTGCTGAACGGCTCTCACAGTTCAAAGCCGATAATCCAGTTTTTATATTACAGTGTAGATGGGACCTCCTCGTGTAGATGAGGAGAGGTGGGTAACAAATAAGATGTTCTATTATTATTATTATTATTATTATTATTATTATTATTATTATTTGAATAATAAAAAAACCTGTATTTATAGACCACCCTCTCCCTTGAGGGGACTCGGGGCAGTTTACACACCAAAAAGGGCAAACACCCCAAAATGATGCAAAATAATATAAAATAATAATAATATATTGTTATAATATAATAATTTATTAAAATATATTAAAATATTGATACTCCACCTTGTGATCTCAGGACAGTGCACAAGTACAATCAATTTATACAGGTTCAAAGCCATTAAACAGAAATATATTTAAACGAACTGAAAGGATATTAAACAATTAAGAAACAGTTTAAAGACATGAATTCTGGAGTCAATCAATCTGGCCTAAAGGCTTTCACGAAAAGCTGCATTTTTACTTGCTGCTAGAATGAAATCAAATTGAGGAACCAATTGGACCATCAAGGACAAGAGATGATGATGAAGGAGGAGGAGGAAGAGGAGGAGGTCACCTGCTTTTCTTCTCTCACCCCAGGGGGATTTTAGGGCTTTCTCATTCCAGGGTGATTTAAGTTGGAGTTGGCTAGGACATGATGAGAGTTATAATCCAAAAAAGTGACTTATTGGGACTCTGGTGTGCTGAGGGCTCTGAACGGGCAGGGCAATTGATGGGTTCCCAAAGTCCTGAGACTGGTGTCCAGCCTCCGGAGAGGAAGCCCTCCTCTTGGGTCAAGGCGCAAGGTCCACCAGAAGGCCACAAGTTCATAGAGGGGTGAAGAGAGGGTCTCCTCCTTCTCCCCCCTCCTCCTTTGTGTGCTCCCTTCGGACCCCCTCCTTCCTCACTTCCTTCTTCCCAGAGGATATGCCTCCCCCTCCCCTCCCCTGGCACGCAAAGACCGCCGTGTTTGTTTTTCCAAGTTCCCCCAATGGTCCGCCAAGAGGGAAACAAACCTCGGCCGGTGCGTCAGTCACCAAAGCGGGCATTCATTCTTCTTCTTCCCCAGCTTCAGCCAACCCCTCTCCCAAGCAAAGAGGGTGGGAGCGGAGGGGGAGAGGGGGCTGGCATTGTTTGGGGGAGGATGGAGGCCAACCAACCCGACCCAAGTTCAGCTAAAAGTAGCCCGGACCCCCGACGACCTTTGGGAGCGAAGAACAACAAACACGAGGTTCCTGGCCGGAGTTCATGACCAAGCCAAGCGGTCAGCTCGCTCACGTCCCTCTAGGCTCGGGCTTTCTTTAGCTCGGGGGCTTGTTTTCCTCATCTTTCTTCTTCTTCTGTTCTTAGATAACCCCCTCAACCCGCCCGACGGAAGGGACCCCAGAGGCTGGAGTAAAGGGAAGCGGAGGAGGCCTGAAAGGAGGAGAGATCAAATGAAGGGAAGCCAAGGGTTCCCCTAACAACAGGTTTGCCTTGCTTCCTGGAAAGTCCACAACTGCGGTGTGAGTATAGATGCCTATGGAATTCAAAGGGTTACCATAAGTAGTTGATAGCTGACTTTAAAACATTGATAGCCTTTGACTCCTTAGGGTGACCCCATGAATGTTATGGGAATTTAAAGGTAAGGAACACTCAGAGGTGGTTTTGCCAGGTCCTTCCCCTGAAATATAGCATACAGCACATGGTATATTTTTAAATCCTGTTAAGGATGGAGACTTTTTTTTCAGGAATTGCAAAGAATGTATACAATTACAGAATTATAAGCTGTTAAAGATGCATACATTGTGTGTGTGTGTACACCTGCTGGGGTGTCCCTTACGTAAAATAAACAGCAAAATCAAACTTGGACAGGTAATATCATCCAGTATTTTTCAGATGATATGGTGAATTTATTTTTGTGTCAGGGAGTGGTACAATATTTGACCCCACTTTTATAATAATAATACAACAACAACAACACACTGCAACACTACTGGAATTGTGAACTGGATGCAAGCAGAGCTGAATGGCGACTAAAATGATCAAGGGTCTGGAGAACAAACCCTATGGCTTCAAGAGCTGGGCATGTTTAGCCTGAAGAAGAGAAGGCTGAGAGGAGACATGATAGCCATGTATAAATATGTGAGGGGAGTCATAGGGAGGAGGAAGCAAGCTTGTTTTCTGCTGTCCTGGAGACTAGGACGTAGAACAATGGCTTCAAACTACAAGAAAGGAGATTCCATCTGAACATGAGGAAGAATTTCCTGACCGTAAGAGCCGTTCAGCAGTGGAACTCTCTGCCTCATGGTGACACCTTCTTTGGAAGCTTTTAAACAGAGGCTGGATGGCCATCTGTAAGGGGTGCTTTGAATGAATTTTACTGCTTGCCAGGGGGTTGGACTGGATGGCCCACGAGGTCTCTTCCAACTCTCTGATTCTATGATTCTATGATCAGGACAGATAAACAAGTATGACAATCCACTACTCATTACACCCTCGCAGTGATGTCAACAGACTTCACCTGCCCAGAAAATCAGGAGGCAGAAAGCTTCTGAAAGTAACACAAATGGTAGAAGAAGAGAAATGGAAAGTTAGTCAAGAACCAACATTGCTGGAAGTCAATAGTAGAAAACTGACTCAAGTGCAAAAGACAAAGGGGTAAAAATAGAATGCATAGCAGAAGAGAAAACAGGCAAAAGAAGGCTCTCCATGGACAGTTCCTGGGAAAAAATGAGATAAATTTGACAAGGAAAAAACATGGAACTTTGAAAAAGAAGATGGAGGTCCTTGTTCTTGCAGCCCGAGAACAAGCCATTAGACCAGAAATCATAGCTAGTTTACCAGCTGTTGGGATTTCTGGGAGTTGAAGGCCAAAACATCTGGGGACCCACTGGTTGAGAACCACTGCATTAGAACTAATACCATCAAAGCCAGAACTGAAAAGTCTATGACAGATTCCAATATAAACTCTGCACGGAAACTGATTAAATGATGGATCACGAACTCAGCTGCTCCAAGAAGATCACGCAGATGGACTACAAGCAGAGGCACAACACAGTTGCTCAGACGATCCATTGGAACTTGTGCCACAAATACCATCTGCCTACAACAATGAACTGGTGGGATCACAAGCCTGAAAAAGTTATGGAAAATGAACACGCCAATCTACTCTGGGGCTTCCAAATTCAGACTGACAGAGTTTTGGAGCACAATACTCCTGACCTCACAATCACAGATAAAAACAAGTATGGATCCTTGATGTTGCAATCCCAGGTGACAACAGGATTGACGAGAAGCAACTGCAAAAGCTGACACAATATGAGGATTCAAAGATAGAACTGCAAAGATTCTGGTACAAGCCAGTAAAGGTGGTCCCAGTGGTGATCAGCACACTGGGTACAGTTCCTAAACACCTTGGCCTGCACTTAAAAACAGTTGATGCTGACAAAATTACTATCTGTCAGCTGCAAAAAGCCACCCACCCTACTTGGATCTGCATGCATTCAGAGCCATAATCCAGTTCAAAACACAGCACAATAATACAAAATAAACACATGAAACATATAACAAATAGGGGCATTTGACATTAAACTGAGAATGGCATACAAATGATAAAAACATAATTACACTAATAACGTAATTAAAACAAGATGCAAGTATAGGTGTTTCTTTCTTCCCTGGAACCTTGCTTTGGGCCAACAAGTGGTAGACATGGACCAGCACCAATCCACAGACGCTACTTGGTTAGCAGCACTGATTTGGTTCACAATTTGCTCCATACAGGGAAGCCACAGCTAAAGTATTTGTGCCAGATGGACATACAAATTTTGTTTAAAACTCTCCAAGGAAAAGGAGCCCTGCATTCCCAAGGTAGTGTTCTGTTTTCTAACTGTGCCTATCCTTGGGATATTTTTCCTAAAGTTTTGCACAAATCTCCTTTTTAGTCATTTAAATCCAGTGGTTCTTGCTTCATCTTCTTTCTTTGCCTATTGAATGTTTGCCTTGCTTTTCTGCCCAACATGACAAACTTTAACTGTTGATGGAGTTTCAGGGGATTAATCTGGCATGATGTGAGTTGTAGTATACCCTCAACCTTATGCATTTTGTAAAATGAAAAAAATGATTTCTTCTAATAACTCAGGCAAGAGCGAGTACCCAAGCTAGTAATTAAATATCTTTCAGCTTGGTGTCTTCCAAATACTCTGAGCTCCAGATCCTTGCCATTCTTACAAGGCAAGCAAGCTCTGCAATGCAGAAGTTATAACTGTGTATGTGTATCTGCCTTTGTTACTCAAAGAATACACAGAGAAGGCATGTCATTCCCTTCCTCTGAAGTGCACTCTACTGCACTACGTATTCACTGATGGCTTCCCATGCAAGTACTAACTTGAAGTAACCTGCTTAGCTTTCAAAACCAAGCAGGATCTAGTGCCTTTAGGATATTTAGGGATACTGCACAAAGAGTAATTAAGACTTACTGCAGTAAAACTGTAGACATGAAGTAATAAGATAGCAGTGGAGCTGTAGACATGAGACACATAACATAACAGGAGCTGTATTGAACAAATGTAAGTTGTATAATGGTGGTGTCATCTTAAAATAAGGAACACTGATATTATCTTTTTAAAAAGGCATATAAATGCATAAGTTATCCTCTGCCCAATTAACAAAAGTACTTGGATTAAATAAGATTAGTATATCCTGATCCCAGTCAGCTTATATTTGGCTGATCCCTGAGGGAACTTTCAACTCATCTTCTGGAATCTGGTACAGTTTCTTACTTAGAGACACTCATGACACAAGTGACTGTCCTTTGTACTCCCCCCACCACGAAGTTACATGAGTCACAGAAAGTTGAGAGGAAGAGATGTACAATGGGCAGGCGCACTTTTCTTCTACCTCAGAGAAACAACAGAATGAGATGTTGCATTTTTATAACAGCAACTACTACTACTTGATCTGTTTCCAGTTTGGGGGGGGGGGAGGGCACATGGCTGGAAGGAAGGAAAGGGGGAAGAGAAGCCTCACCACCTTGGTTGGCACAGGATCCCCCTTTTCTTCCTGCACAAATACACTTTGCTCCAGATCAGATATCTCTCTCTCTCTCTCTCTCTCCTTCCTCCCTTTTCCTCCCCCATGCACTCTCTCTTCTTCCTCTTCCTCCTCCTCCTCCAAAGAGACTGGAGGGGGCTTTCAAGGGGACAAGCCCAAAGAACATAGAATTAAAACATAATACAATAAAATAAAATCAAAACAAATCAACATAAGAACAGGGTTGTTGTAGGTTTTTCGGGCTATATGGCCATGTTCTAGAGGCATTTCTCCTGACGTTTCACCTGCATCTATGGCAAGCATCCTCAGAGGTAGTGAGGTCTGTTGGAACTAGGAAAATGGGTTTATATATTCCAACAGACCTCACTACCTCTGAGGATGCTTGCCATAGATGCAGGCGAAACGTCAGGAGAAATGCCTCTAGAACATGGCCATATAGCCCGAAAAACCTACAACAATGATTCCAGCCATGAAAGCCTTCGACAATACATTGAACATAAGAACATATCACAATAAAACATAACATAATAAAAACAGTACCATGCTGTGCAATAAAAATGCTGAGTTCAGAGGACTGTGCAGTACACACATTCCAAATCGGAGGAAAAAGGCAAGCATCTCTTCCTAGGAAAAAGGACTTCCTCTTCCTCTTCAGTATACATCACAGCAGGATTTGGGAAAGTTACTGTGAGCATGGCCATTGACCAGTTGTTATCCAAAGAAGTAACATTTCCAAGCTCTTCATTACTCTGAAAGCATGATAAGGCACTGCAGACTACTTCAACCAGAGAAGTCAGCCATAGCAGAGCACCTGATGCACCAACCTGGACAGAGCATATTATTTGAGAACACAGAAATGCTGGACCACTCTAACAATTACCATATCAGACTACACAGAGAAGCCACTGAAATCCACAAGCATGTGGACAATTTCAACTGAAAGGAAGAACCATGAAAACGAACAAAATCTGGCTGCTAGTGTTAAAAAACTCTAAAATCATAACAGTAAATAAATAACAGCACTCAAAACAGGGGAATTCCAGACAAGAAACAATCAGGGCCAGCTAATCACCTCCCAAGAAAGAATTCCCCCAGGCAGTAAGAAGCCAGACCTTGAAAACTGCTAGCCATTAAATGCTAATTAAGGTGGCCAGTTGCTACATTCACACCTACCTCAAACAGACAACAGTTGTTTCTCCCACCCTGAACATTCTACAAATATATAACCCCATTTTCCTAATTTCCAACAGACTTCACAATCTCTGAGGATGCCTGCCATAGATGCAGGTGAAACATCAGGAGAGAATGTTTCTGGAAAATGGCCATACAGCCACCCATGATGGTTCTGTTTGATCTTTGAGACAAAATCATGAACACAGTTCTTAATCTGGTTTTGATTTTCATTTCTTATTTAATCTATAATTTATTCCAATGAAGAGTTTGATAGTTCCAAAGGAACAACTTCTCGCTAGATTTCAACCAAATTTTGGGACAATGCACAGGTGACTAAATAATTCGAGGAGAAATGCTCACTCCTCTGCTTTTAGCACAAAATCGATGAACAAATCAATCAATGCATGAAACAATGCAAAGGGAAGCAGGTACCCATGCCATCTGGACAGGGAAGGTGGTATAAGTCTTTCCCACCTTATTGATCTTCATAGATGACCTATGGTATATATCCACTCCAGGATTCCAGGAGCTACTCAAGGTGCTGAATCCGATCCTCATAGCTTTGGCAGTTCCTCAAATTGATCCTTTAGGCTTTAAACCTGAAACAGATTCATCATCCCGTTGATATGTACACCGTTTTTTCTAATAACATGTTT